CAGGTCATGAAGGTATTTGCGGGTTGTTCTAGTAGAGAGAGTTGTATTAAGGTGCATATTAAGTTCATTAGTGATAACGGTAAGAGGTGTTTTGCGATTCTTATTTGCAATACGAGACAAAATACGTTCATCACATTCAGAGAGAATTTTTTGGGGACCAGGACGTTTAGATGGGTGTTTGGAGCCAGTTTCTTTATAACGTTTGACTGTGTCATATACTGTCGACTTCGCGTAACCAAAAGTTTTTGCAATGGTAAGTGGACTAACGCCGCACAAGTAAGCACCGATAATTTGACTTCGCTGATCTTGACTGAGTTCCTTACGACAGACTTTATTCTCTTTTTCTGACATATTTCATAGTGTTAAAAAAATGAGAAAAAAATCTTTCAAGGTATTTAAGGTATTTAAAGAGGTGTAACACAAAAAAAAATCACCAAAATATTAAAAAAATATGATTTTATATTGATTTCCGGTGATCTACTTCCGGCCACTGTATGCTTCCTTGTTTCCATTCGTTTGGTATTGTTTCCTTTTTGAGAATTTGGTTGAAGAGTTCTGTTATGTAGAAGAGTGATTTTGGGGACAATTTTTTAAGTGCTATATATGGGATGCCTGTGGTTCCGGGTGCTGATTTGGTTGAACGAGATTTGATTGTTTGTTGTACTTCTTCGATTGTGATTGGTTTGGTTGTATCTGCGTACCACTGCTTTGATATGTGTCTCATCGGTCTATACTCTTTGTCGTATTTATAACGTTGCATCTTCTTGTCCATTCTCTGAAGTGTTTACTTACTTCCTCTTGTATCTTGATTGGTTCGACAATGATTTTTTCTTCTGGTTCATGTACAATTAGTTTGTCGAGAATTATATGTCTTTTGGGGTCATCTAAAAGATTTCGTATCATTTGTTTTTTGTTTGTGGCAAAGTAAGCTTGTCTGCGTGAGATGTGTTCTTGTATGGCTTTTGTTTTTTGATTCTGGCATATTTTTCTAAGGATTTGTTTGTGATCTATTAGTGTTTGTTTCACATCATGGTTCCATTCTTTGATGTTTGTTTCGTTAAGTGGTTCTTTTGGTTTGTTTATTGAGAGATTGTGTTTGTTTTGGAGTTTATTTATGATTTTTGCCACCTTTTCCCTGAATTCCTCTTCCTGAATATCTTTCTGCTTGGCTTTTTCCCCTAGGTTTTTGAGCTTTGATAGTTGTCTTATAGCATATGTTTGTGGTTTTGGTGGTTTTGCAGTTCTTTTTTTTTCCCTATATTTCTTTATGTTGTTGCTGGCCGCTTGGAGTATTGCTTC